AGAGGAAAAATAATACTTGGCAGAAATATTTTAACCTAGAAAAAGTTGCATTTCCTGCGAAAATGCTGTGTGAATGCCGTGTAGGGGAATCTGCTGAAAACAGCTGAAGAAGTAAAACTCTGTGCTGAAAGGAGGTGAAGAAACTGAAAAGAAACGGAATGTCGTGCTGCGGAAGTTTCTGCTGAAAACAGCTGAAGAAACTGGAATTTTTCCCGAAAAGGAATAAAAAACTAATAATTCTGCTGAAAAGGGGCGAAGAAGCTGAAATTTATGTTGATGTTAAGTTTAACTGTTACCTGAAAAAAATGTTGCCATAGGCGGGATTCGAACCCGAGCCTCCCGCTCTCAGAACGGCTGCTCATCTCACTGAGCTAAAGCACAGTTCACCCTGGCAAGCAAAATCAGTGACCACACTGATAATGTGGTCCATTCGTTTCAATGGGACAAAAAAATTTGAATGGCGAAAATCAGATAAAAACTGTGGGACTAGTTAAGTGCCAAAAAACGTACAGAAGCAACTAGAATATAGTGGAATAAAGAACTAGAAAAATTTGCATTTCCTGCGAAAATGCTGTGTGGATGCCTTAACCCTGAAGTTGTCTGCTGAAAAAAGCTGAAAAAGATGAAAAGTTGCAACAATTGTATGGTGGTGAAGAAACTGAAAATTCTGCTGAAAACAGGTGAAGAAGTAGAAATTTTTTGCTGAAAAGTGGGTAAAGACGCTTAAATTTGTGTTGAAAAGAGTTAAAAAAGTTTACTGAAACTGAAAATTTTGCCATAAGCGGGATTTGAACCCGGGCCTCCCAGTCTGAGAACGGCTGCTCATCTCACTGAGCTAAAACACCCTCAGCCCAGCGAGCAGAAACAAGTGAGCACATTGATAATGTGTTCCATTCATTTCAATGGGCAAAAATATTGTATAAAAAGGTCACAAATCTCTCACATCTCAAACACGCCGTCACTCCTAAAACTTCTCCCTCCCTAAACAACTAAAGGCCATTTTGCCATATCATCTTTTGATTGGTCCACATGGTGCATTTTTCCACCAATAGGAAAGGCTGGAGGGTTTTGTTTTTGTTTTTGCTCACAGGCTTTCGAGTGTTTTCCTTATAAAACGCCGTTTTTACCGTTTCTTCC